AAATATGGCATAATAAGGTTATTTTAGGCTATTGATATTTTTACAGATTCATTGGCACTTTTATAATAGTATAGATATGTAATGGACATAGACTTTGGCTGGTTATTCCAGTGTCTTAATAATTCAACTTGGTTTAAATATGTCTTTTTATGTGATGAATGAAGTGAAGTCCATGCTAAGTTGGTTAATCTTGTGTAGTATTAGAATATTTATTTCAACTTGGTTTAAATATGTCTTTTTATGTGATGAATGAAGTGAAGTCCATGCTAAGTTGGTTAATCTTGTGTAGTATTAGAATATTTATTTGTGAATTGTCCCACATCGTTTATATAGAGAAAATATGCCTAATTTATAAGTCTAATGAGCTACTTCTTCTTCCAACAATTGGATTTGGGATGGAACTTCGCTTGGGCTTCATATGTGTTTTCCCTGTCTTAGTGTGCTTCACGTACCCTATTTCTTACATGGTATCAGAGTTCTTGGTGAGGTGACTTCACGTGCGTGGGACCGCACCCCGCGCTCGTTTTGCCCCCGTTTCTTACATGTAGATTGATAACATTAGTACTTTAGGTTTCTGTATTGTTTTTTTGTGATGCTCGACATCAGAGTCCTTGTTGAGGTCGCTTCACGTGCGTGGGATCGCAATCCGCACTCATTTTGCCTCTGTTTCTTACATATAGAATGATAATTGATAACATTAGTACTTAGGTTTCTATATTGTTTTTATGTGATGCTCGACAGCAACTGATTGATTACTTATCTTTAACTATATTTTTATATGTTTGGACAGAAGCTTCATTTTCATTTTTTTTTTTTTTCCCCCTAATGATCTGATGAGGCAACATTCGAGAAAATGATTTTGGTCAAGCGGCAAGGAAAAAAAACAAATCTAGAAAATTAGTTTTGTCGACAAATTAAATATCATTTTAAAACATAAACAATAATTCCCAACTTACATAATAACTAATCATAATAAAGTCACATTAAATAATAGTTAGTACTAACTAATTGTAAAGTCGCATTAAATAATAGTTTACTCTAAAACTTTTTTCAAACTATTTATTTAAAATGTTTTTTTTAAACTCGTTAAGCAAGTTTTTTATAACAAAATTAGCTAATTATTTTTTATAAAATAACCAAATCCCTTAAAATTTCATACACTATAGTAATAATAATTTCAGTGTTGTTTTATCTAATTAATTGATTATAATCAATTGAGAATGCAAAAATTACATTACTGCAATGAATATAAAGATTAATATATATAAGTTAAATAGTTTATATTTATATAGCTCAATTTTACCAATAATAAAATTTATAAAATGTGATCATCAATTATAACTTAAATATACTACAAACCTACAAAATTTTATCTGCGTATGTCAATGTGCACAGAATCAAATATACTAGCATTAAATATTATTAATAGATCAAGTGTATCTGAACATAATATTTTAAAATAAATATAGTAAATCGATTTTTACACTATTATATATCATAAAAAAATAAATGAAATGATAAAAATTAATTTTAATTTGTGTTTATATATATTAGTCTATATTCGTTATCAATTATTTCATTTATACAGTTCACAATTACTGCCTCGTGCAATGCACGGACTATACAACAGTTTCATAGTATAAGTAGTTATGAAGTGCTTTTAACTAAAATAAATATAATTAACTAAACATGGATTTTTGTTTTCAAAAAAATCCATTAATTGTGCATGCATAATGTATGATGTATAATGTGAATTATGTAACTTATATTAGTTCAATCTCATGCAATGTATCAAATTTGGTTTCAATATATATAGCATTTTTTTTTGCTTTATGCTATCATAGTCAAGTTGATTTGTGGTCCTATGGAAGTCTATATGTCATGGAGGAGGTTCTAAAATACCTGCCATCATGCAACCTTTATGAAGGTGTGACAGCTGTCTCCATAGATTTGCTATATTTCCTTCCCCAAAATAATTTAATAATCTAATAATTGAGTTATAATTATTATCTCCATCTCCATTTTTTTGCAAATTACTGCTCATTTTATTTCTCCCTCTTAATATATAAATAAATGTTACTTCCTCCATTTTGAAATATAAGGCGATTAAGGTTTTTACACAAATATTAGAGAGACATTAATTAATAAATAAATTGACTAAACTAACCTTATTTATTGAAAATCACTATGTAGTTATTGTTATGATTGCAGCTATAAATAAGGGTATATTTAGCAGAAAATGAAATAATTTGTCTTGGTTTTGATGTGCGCCTTATATTTCAATAAATTGAGAATTTCTTATATGCCTTATATTTCGAAATGGAGGGAGTATTAAATAGAAAATTTGATATAAAGTAAGAATATTTAAATAATAGTTAAAAATCTCCCAATTTTTTTACCGTGTCCAATTTTTCAACCCAAAGTACTATGTACTGTGATCTATTTGCTAAAATCTTGGTACATTTATTTTTTTTATTTTTTTTTTTTATTTTTTACCACAGCTTTTACTGAAGGAAACACATGACTTGTGGGCTATAAGTTAGCAAATGTTAGAAGTAATAGATACAGGTCTGGGAAGTGGGAAACTGCAGGGATAAGGGGTAGAAAAGCCAATTTTTTTTTTAATTTTTTATTTTTTATTTTTTATTTTTTTTTTTACAGTTGGGTGAAGAGATATTAGATGTCATGAGAATTGGGAACAGTCCTAGGGGAAAATTTAATTTTGGAGCATATGGAAAAAAAAATAAAATTAAATTTAAATAATAATAAAAAAAAAGATGATTGTTGTATTGATAATATTGTTTCAACAAAGTAATTATTATTGGTGTTGTGGTGTATTTTGGTGGCTGTTGGCAAGACAAAAAAGTTATCCTCCATACCCTTTTCATTTATCTATCCAACATTA